TGTGTCAACTCAGCAAAACTTTAAGCGTCAAAAGGGCTAGAGCCATTAAAAGATGGAGATATTTAAAACTGGATATGGGCAGAATAAAATGTCTTGGTCCAAAATTGTTTGAATAGAAAGAGTTTGTGTTTGTAGCCAGGGTCATAGAGAACTTGCATAAATGAAGGAATTCTTGCTACTCTCGCCTACCTCTACGGTGTAAAATACTGAGAACATATGTGTATGCCAAAAATAGAGATAACTGATGGAGAAGTGATTTCCTCTTAGGTCTTGCAGTTCTTGGGTGCACGATTGGACTAATAGACTGCAACAGGGGAGAGGAACCCCTGCCATAGCCTGCTGTGGTTTTTGGAAGCCTGGATGTCAAAGCAGTGCAAGGTGGGCTGCAATAGCCCTGTTTCCCATATTGATTAGCTGTCAGTGGCTCAGCACTGAGGGTTTTTGGATCCCATTTGAACCTAATGGTTCATATGCATTATGCTGAGAGTACAGAACTTGGGATTCTGGATTCCACAGGAAACAGTTCCTAATACTTAAATGTGCGAGTCATTTAAAATTGCTAATGAACACTCATCCCACTTGCTCTTCTAAGTGAGTAAATAGGAGCAACAGTTACTCATGACATTTTCCATTTAGAAATATTGGCAATACTTGTGGGAAATACGAGTAGGCTGGTTTGATGGGGGGTGGCAAGACCTGGTGGCTGGGATTTCCAGAGCTACCAAAGAGGACCCTCGGTTCCTGGCCACTTTCAGTGGGAATCGGGTACTCAATGTCATTTGGATAATCTTCAGTCATTATTATCAATAAAGCCTAAAGGTTTTAACAAGCAGGGATGCTGACTAGGTACTGTACAAATGAGGAAGACCGAGACAGTCCTCATCTTGGAGACCTGTCAAATTTGAACCAACAAGAGGAGAGATAAGGACAGAGAGACAGGTATAGGGAGTGGAAGGGAACATAAGATTTCTAACTTTGGCTTTGTCAGCACGTATTAGAAAACACTGCTGGTTTTCTAAAAATTTCCTCTTGATGCACTATGTCAAATTCCCTGATGAGCAGAAGAGTACCCAGGGCTTTCACGCACATCCGCTCCTGTCTCTCTCGTAAGGCAAGAGTGGGTTTTTGTGCTAATCTCTTAGGTGCTGGCGGTGGCTAAAAAGCTAAAAGCTCTAGTGCCAGACCACTCTTGTGGGGGTTTCCATTTCATCAGTTTCCTGCCAGAAAGGGGCCGAATGTGAAACCATCTCGAGTGGTTGGGTAGCAAGTGAGTCAGACTGGCCATGGGTGGGAGTGGAGAAGCCCACTTCTGAGTGACCCTCCAGCCCCACGTGGAAAGTGCTGCATTCAGTTTTCACACTTACCCCGATGGGCGTTGAGAAAAATGGCAAACCCGTGAGGGTTTAACCACTGCCGGGCAGAACCTTTGTCACTGCTGAGGGTGCAGCGGAGATTTAGGTCCTCTCCTTCCTTTAGAATTACGGTTTCACTGCCAGCTCCTGGAAAATCCCCTGCCAGAGATGGGGGGAGGGGGGAAACCCAAGTATTAAAACGTGACATGAAGTAAAGTGACAATGTTTCGCACAGAGTAATATGTCAATTTTCTTTTTTATTTTCAAGGGTGTAAAGGTTTTTCTACATGAGGAAACTTGCCAGTGTGGTTGTACTAATATAAATCACAGGCTTTAGATAGGTCATCACAGTCACTGGGTAAGACTTGTACTAACAGTTGTGGACTTGTACTAACAGTTGTGATCTTTACCTGCTAGCACAACCAGACTTAGTTATTAAATGTTATTCCACAAGAGTCAACAAAGAATTGATAGCAGACCCATTTAATGCACGTTCCCCCTTCTATGTTAACACAAACATTAATTTTCATTATTCCATGTTCCATTCCTGATTTGCAAGTGTGTGCGACTGAGCAGTGAATGATCAGCACCTCTGAAAAATGAGGCTTTTTTTATTCGAAAATGTAATGCTGCAGCTGCTTTGAACTGGCTTTGAAACTTCTTTTGTAGGCAGGATCCACAAACGTGGCCTGGCACAGGTTACTAAAATGAAATTTTATTCTCTCTCCTCCCAGTTCATTTTATAGATGGGCAGTAAAGTGTGTTTTTTCTCTCCAGACATTCTAGGATATATAATACACTTTGTGAAAATATTTGATGGCCTGGAATGAATTGCCATCTCCAGAAAAAAGCACGCCCCGGAGAAATTACTAAGAGTAGTGCCTGGGTCAGAGTTAAGTAAATAGGCAGTAAGAGGGTTTTATTTTTCATTCCTGTTTTGTGTGTTTTGATTTTATTTCCCGGGTAGCTGTCTGCTCCGAGTTCCTACTGCATACATGAGCACTGCAGTTTGGGGAAATGAATCTTTCTGGGCTTCAGGAAAGCTTTTCATTTTCTTACAAACATTTTAAAATACACCAGAAATGAAGCTATCGTAGGGCGTTCTTGCTGTACCTGATGTTTCCCACTAAAATCAGAGGGAGGACTCGTCTCCCCTTAGGCAATAGTTTCCCATGGGGACCTGTTGCCGTGTCTCACCCTTGCGTTAGCACACCCGACGCTTCCTGGGCCAGAGGCGGCATGGAAAAACGGTCAGCGATGCAGCTTGTGACTTCACAAATAACAAACGTACCGCAGACCTTTCATCTTTCGTCACTACCTAATCTTTGGAGTCTATAAGCTTGCAGAAGAGATTTCCTTGTAATATCTCAGTATTTTTACTTCCCAATTTGTAAGTATGATGTATGTTGCTTTAGCTAAGGAGACCCTGTGCAGTACGGATGTGCTGCCTGTCCTCACCGCGCAGGGCTGGGTTCTGAATCGCCGTACGCTGCTGAAGTCCTGCTGACCTCAGAGCGGCCATAAGCGATTTACCATCACGTATGGCACATCAGCGCCTTTGGCTTACGTTTCCTCGAGATCCCGCCTCCGTTTCCCAGAGCTAGAGTCTCAGCTGCTTTCTCGGGGCTTGTGCCACGTCGGGCCATTTGCAGAGGAGCAGCAGAAAAGGAAAAGCTCCTTGCACGGGTTCCACTTGTGAAGACCAGTGTCAGGAGGTGCATGTTGTTAAGGCAGCAGAGAGGGCCTTGTCTGTGGTTTTCCATGGGGCCCTTCTGCGTTTTTTCATAGCGATGGTTTCCTGTTGCTAACAGCAGCGTGGGGTCTTTCAAGTCGCACCTTTTGAGGTGAGAGCAGCGAGACTGAACACGAAAAGGTGGGGGTGTTGCTTGCTTTTCTAAACCAGAAGAAAGCAGCCCCAAGAACAGAGCATATATGTAATTTCCATGAGAGACCACGGCTTCATTCAGACCATGACTCACAGGACAAATTTCTTTCCTTGTACAGGGGGCAGTTTGACGTGGCTGTGGTCTTCGAGCCACCGTAGCACGCTGCGGTACAGTCACTGGGGTGTGGGAGGTGCTCCCGTGCCAGCTCCGGAGGATGGTGGCTGTTGTACCGTGTGGATCCCAGGTGCCCTGGCTACCTGGAATAATTAGTCTGGCATCAAGCACGGCGATGTATCCGCCTTCTTGCCAAGACAGGGCAACAATTTCTTGCTAGAAATTGCGGGATGCAACTGAGCAGAATGGCTCATGCCTCTGGTTGCTGTTATTTTAGCCATCAGAAAGCGCACAGAGAACTTGTTGCGGTGATAATGCGCTCAATGCATCATTTCAGAGTTATCTTTAAAACCGTAGCCTATAGAGACGTCCTGTTTAGTAAGTCAGTTTTGACCTCTGGCTGCAGACCTGTGAGTGGGAGTGCAAATGAATTCTGATGGCCAAGAGCAGCTAGCAGCTGTCAGCGGGTACAAATTCATCATGCAGAAGTCTGGCAATATTGGGGGGAAAAGGGGTCGTACACTGAAACAGAGGGAAAGCCGCTCATTTGGAGCGAGTCTAAAGGGCACTGCAAGTGCTAGTTCAGCAAGGATACAACTGACTGGCCTGGCTTCTGGTAAACACAATCAATGGTAATAAAACATCCTAAGCATATAGTATAACAGAAAGTTTTGTCGCTGTTTGGACACCGAGCATTGACGTGGCCTCTGCTAACACCACCTTTGTGTGTGAGAGTATTAACGAAGCGTCAGCAATAGCCCTGCTACGGTTTCTGCTCCAGCATTTGTTAAGGAGGGAGAGGGACTGTTGCTTCGGCCAGCAGCAGGCTCGTGCGTGCATTCCTCCCGCAAAGATTGGGAGTGAAGCCTGCGAGAAACCTGAGCTGTAGATAGCTGTCTTGCTGCCTTCCAGGCTTAAATCTTTGCCTGTTTGACATGGTCAAATATGAACCTCATATGCTCTCCTGTGTATGAAAAAGGAGATTAGCAAAGTAGGTATAAGCTACATCCTCTAGTAGGAGTAAGGAGATTGAGCATTTAAGGTGCTTTTCATTCTCAAAATACTTTGCAAGTGCTTTCTAAGTTACTCTGACTTCTTATATTAGCCTCTTTTTACACAATACATGAGCAAAGGCATACACAGATATCCAAGCCATGGAAAGTAAGCAGTGATCTGCTGTCCAGATTTTAAGGGAGAATCTTTCGATTTCCCAGCTCCAGCATGCCGCCAGCTGCTAGGAGGTAAATTGGTCTCACCGATACCGGGTTTAGGAGTCAGCTGGAATGCAGCACCGACATGCTTTGGAAATTGGGTGACAATACAGCATTGTCCACAAGAAAACAACAACAGCAGCAAAACTGCCTTGTGCGTGGTGTGCTGAAGCTCTGGAAATCGAGTTCTCCAAGCTGGACTGCTTGCAAGGGGGAGATCGTGCAAGGCAACGCGTATCGCTTACCTTGCATCAGGAACAGAGCTGCGATGTGTAGCACCCTGGTGAAAGTCATGTTGTGGTGTGGGGTGCAGGCGGTCTGTGCTGACTTCCTCTCCCTGCCGGGGCTGCTGTGCAGCCGGTCCCTTTTCAGCACTGGGGGAGCAGATTTACCATGACTTCATCACTGCCGGGGTCTCTGCCTCCTTTCCTTCTCTCTGCTGTTCCACTCTTCCCCCACCTCGTGTTTCCTATGTGTTGGTGACTGCTGAGAAACCAGTGACCTCACAGGTGCCTGAAATGAAACTGGTGGGTGACAGGACTTGGGGGCACTCCACTTCACACCCCCTCCAGCTCTGTCTCGCTCAGTGTCTGTGTGGGGGGAGATGTACATGGAGGAGGAAGCAGGTAAAGGTTAAGAGAAACGTGGACCCTGGGGACCTGGGCTAACCCCGCCAGGGACCCCTGCTGCAGTGATCCTATGGGTGCACTGTGCCAGATTTAATTCCCCAAGATGAGGAGGCACCCAGGCAGGCAGAGCTTATTTGGTGGACACCGCTGTAGTGCAGTAACCGGCAAGTTTGCTTGAAAACCCAGCTGTGTAATTTAAATTCCTGGAAAAATAACCTTGCGTCACTCTGGATCTTGTGCCGCCACGTGCGCAGCAGGCTTGCTTTGCTCTGCTTGCGAGGATCCTGGCAAAACAAATAATGAGAGAAAGGCGTGTGGTTTGTGGCTCTCCGGGGAACGGAGAGTATTGGTGAGGAGGTTGTGAAAGGTTCGCTGAGCACCGAAGCGCAGGGCGGAGGGATGACTACATCAAGGAGGTCCCAGAGGACCGGTGGCAGAATCTGGGTTTCTCGTGTCCCCTTGCAGGTCTGATTATTTCAGGAGTGATCTGGGGCATAGCAAAGCTTTTTGTGTCTCCTGGCTGTGTGATGCCCAGTAACATCACGAGATTTATCCAAGCCCGTTGTAGGCAGAGCCTCTTCTCACGATGTAGCCACGGGTGCTGATTTCCAAAAAGGCTTTGGCAGATCCTCTTCTGGCATTTCTCTGCAACTGCCCGACACTTAGTGCGAATGACTAATACTGTCAAAATGAGCTGACTTTAATAAGATAAGAAATATGGTTTAAAAACCACATGCATTTGCAGGACATAGGTTTAAGTGAACTGGACAAAATGGTTAATTATAAATACATTATGCATTTCACTTCTAATTTATTAGAACCTGCTTCCATTAAACTTTCAGGTGCATGCATGTGCGTCATTCTATTAGTGTATATTTGATTGATAAAAGCTATGGCTTTTATGTTAATCATAATATAATCAGTTTTACTGGAAAACAGCGCCATAAAGTTTAATGTAGTTGGTTTGAAAGGAAAGTCTCACTGGCTGATAAAACTACTGCTGGATTAAAAAATCCAGACCAAGAAAGAAGATATGTGTTGTGAAGGTAGGCATTGCTTTGGTTTGAAAGTTGTGCTTTCAGTCCCACGCATCTAAACCTGACAGTAAAAGCCATCAAGCAGTAGAGACACTGAAGCCACCTGCCTCCAACCCAGAGGGAAAACTCCACGGAAAACCAGACTTGAGATGGTTTTGTGCCATCTGCTGTCTAACAAATGAACTTCATCTTCAGTGGAGGGAAGGAAAACGTAGCTCAAATTGCCCTTTCCCCTTGATGTCTCCGAGGCTTGCGCCCCATCCGGGTGGGCATCCCGAACTGGGATGTGGTGAGGGCAGCGCTGCGACCCAAACTGGGAAAGAGCCCCGACGCCCTGGTTGTTTCAGGATCCCCACGCAGCCGCTCTCCAGGCGTGTGCCCAGTGCTGGCGTCGTTCTGACCTGCGTCTTGCTGGAGCCACTGAAAAGACTTGCTCAAGGTGCAGCCCAGCAATGCACGGACCCCTCTGAAGGGGCACTTCACCAAAGGTCTGTGTCAGAATATTTGCTCCGGCAAAGTCCGACACATTTCAGAGGAAAATTTAAATAGGAAGGGCAAGGTGTTGGGTGCGTGGCATCTTTATTAAATCATCTCCGAGACGTTTTTGTCTGACTTCCGAGAAATCCATTTAATGTCATAAGCAAATTAAAATGCAGTGGTTGTTTTAACAGTTGTTAGCACTTGAAACTGAGATTAAAAACAACCAACCAACCCCCCCCCCCCAAAATAAAAAAATACAGATGTCACAGGTAATTACAGCTATTTTTGGCAATACAATTATTGGGGTTTTTTTAAACAGCAAACATTTTTCTCAAATAAATACAATCTGCTTACACTAAAAACATATTAAACAGAATGATACAACAGGTTTAAAATGACAAAAAAAAAAAAAAGTATCCATTGATAACATCAAGTTTTAAGAGATGTCCACAGAGAGAAACTTCAGAAAATACATTTTAATGGGAAGTAATAGAAAGGAACTGGCTGTGTATTTTCTGTTATGTAGCATGTATGGTTCATGAATATTCCCCAGGGAACAAGTATTTGAGAAAGTGGTGAGAAGTAAGTAGTGATTTAGAGTGTGTGCAACCAATCACACTTACTGCTTAATTTATTTTTTTCATTCATTCGCCATTTTAAGCATGTCTGCTACCGCCGTCATTTCACACGTATTTTTAAAGTTCAAATAATATCCCCTACGCTTAGGCTCTCTTTAAAAAAAAAACAAACATCTCAAAACCCACAAACCCAACCTGTTAAGGCTTCCTCTCTAAACAACAGATTCCATACGGAATTTCAGTATGTTTTAAGTTGCGAAGCATCGCAAACTAATTTCCAGCTCTGAGTTTACGTGAGGGTTAGTTGACTACAGCCTAACTCGGCCATCTAGCATCCCTCTTTTTGAAATGAACGTGGATCTAATCAGACACTAAATCTCGCTCTACTTCTGCATGCACTTCTACAGTCAGGACTAAAGTCAACCCCGCACAGATCTGAGTCCTCCGGATTCCGCGTTAAGTCAGTTGTGGGGTGGGGGGGAGCAGCCTGTGGTAGGACCTGGCTTTGCACGGCTTCATCCCAAGCCCGAGGAAATCATGAAGAATCTTCCTCTTTGTTTCTCTGGGCTCTGGATCTGGCCATTGCGAGGACCTGGAGGGAAAAGTTTACGTCCCCTCGTTTGAGGCTGAGTTTGTCGCGGTGCTGTACGTGACCCCCTCCCCATCCTCTGACTTTTTATCCAAGAGCTGCAGTTAGCACACGGACAAAGACGACAGGACCCACGTCCCTGAGACGTTGCTACCTGGGGGGGACCTCAGGGCTGCGGGTATGATGCGATATGCTGGGAAACAGCGCTCTAGCATCCCTTCTACCCTCGTTGTTTTGCAGAATTAACCGCTTGCGTTGCCTTCGCTAAAGATAATTCCTGCAGAATTCTCGTAAATGGCCACTTATTTGGTGATGTAAATGATCACTTTGATAATAATGTTGACACTAGAAGCTAACACCAGAGGAGAGCAGGAGGCTCCTACCATCAGCTGACTTCTTCCTGAAACTGCTCAGACTGAGTGAAAAGGGAAATACGGGTTTTTTCTGAAGTTATGGCCTGGATCCTCAGTTTGCATAAGCAAGGAAAACGCTGTTGATCTGCCTATACAGTGTCAATTCACACTCACAGAGAACCTGGCTCCATGCTCACAGGGTTTAAGTGTTTGGCTGTAGCTGCCACTGCACTAAATGTAAGGGAAATGCACCAAACTTTAGACCTGGCACCTGCATTAAACTGGAAAGGTATGCGCAGGCAGAGCTCGAGCCCCGTTGGCTTCGGCAGAGGGAGATACAAAGTCCAGTGACCAGGTTTTGATCAAGAGTTTGTCCTTAACTTTTTCAAATAACCCTGTTTTTGACCTTCTGGTGCCGAGCGTCATCCCGTCAGCTGCTGCTGTGCTAGAATTTGATTCCGTGCTTTGATTCTTGTATTTTTTTGGTTTTTAGCCCAACCCATAAATTGCAGTTAATGAAAATACCAGATGAACGACTTAATCTCGGCAGATTTCCAGCTTTATTCCTTAATTGGGAAGAGAGGGAAAAAATCTAGGAACTGCTACTTGCCTCCTATTCCCTAATTAAACTGTTGGGATCCGATGCAGCTCACAGTGAAGGCAAGGAAAAGACTTGCACGCACTTTACATAGATCAAGTCTAATGCTGTTTGGGGACAAAACACTCAACTGTCATTAAATACACATTAATAAGCAGCAATGGAGTGAAAGTGAAGCAGCAATTTTTTCATATTCTTAACATCTCAATTAAAAATTTAAAAGGAACATCTCTTTTTCTTCCCCCCCCATGAACCTTATCAACATGAGACTACCTAACACAAAACCCCTATGAGAAATCAAAATGCTAGAAGAAAATAAGAGTTTTCTGTGAGAGTCTTGACACCTGAAAAATCTGAGAGAAGACTACAATTGTCAAAATACTTTCCCAAGCATCCAAAAATATACTTTTTTTTTTTTAAAGAGGAGCATATTTTAACATCTACCTTCTCAAACAGAACACTCTTTTCTATATTACTTACTATATGCAAATATCAGCTAGTACAATATTCAAATTGTGCATTCGGGTTTTGTTCCCTCTCTGTTCATGCTTCCCCCTAAATAAACTCCTTGTAATGCCGTCTAACAGCAACAGGACCTGAGCAGCTGCCACTGTTTTGTACAGGCAAGATTTGTTGTCCCAAATTACGTGTTGCTGGCCCATAGCATGAAACAAAAAAAAGTCCGGAGAATTACGCGTGCATCAGTAACCAAATTAGATTTTGGTGTGATTGTCATCTATTTAGTTTTAAACTCTTTGCGAATTTGCAGTGAGTAAGCACGGAGGAAAACAAGCCAGAAATGCTCTTCAGAATGTCTGTACACAGCCAAAAATAGTTTAAATTACAGTTAAAAACTAAAGTGACAGCAATGTAACTGCACGGGAGCAGTTTCTTCTGTCATCTCATAAGTTATCTCCCTGACTTCTCAGTATACATCCCTGGTATAATAATGCACTTATGAATGGCCTACTGTGTATTACATAGTCATAAATGTATAAATAACGGACTATCGTTATGGATCGTGACAACATACGTATTGCACAGGATGAGCTCTCTGCTGACTCAAAATCTGTACAGAATCTGGTGTACTCTTCCTGGCACGCTCAATAAAACCCAGAGACAAAGCCGAGCTAAAACCCCTGAAGATTTGTTACATCGCGGTTGCAGAGTGTTTTGCCTCGTTTAGGAAGAAGGGATCGCAGTTTATCACTCTTTAGTTGTTCTGACTGCTGAAAGTCCAGCTCGGTCATACCCTACTGAAGGTGAGACTAGTCCCACTGAAGGCTTGATGGGTTAAGGGAAACCAACGCAAAATCAAACTTTGATCTTGCTATGAATAATAAACCTTCGTTCAAAGTTGGCCAGCGTAACCTTTTGTGCCGTATAAACGTTTCAAATGAGGACACTGACACTTTCTGCAGAGGGAAAGCTGGACAGAAATGGGGTACCTAGGATGCCAGAATTTCTTTCCTGGTACTTCCGAACCTGCCTTTGACGCTATTTATGGGAATACTCAGAGTTATGGCCCAAACCAAGAAAGAACTATGCCTAAATCTCTTTCATCCCATTTAAGCACATTTTAAAGTACCTTCTCAAAGTGAGCCTACACTGATAAAGACCCGTACAAATATCTCCAGGAACTCTCTGACCCAAGGCTGATGACTTAAGATAATACTAATCTAAAAGAAATCTGCTCTGAAGCCAGTTTATATTACAAACTACCCACTGCGGTGTACGTTGCGTTCTCCTGTGAAGCAGCTGATGGTGGGATCGTGCAGGCTGTTGCACTAAGAGGACACTTCCTGTGATCTCAAAGATTTTAGCTACGGGCAGAAACCCTTCTCTTACCCTTCTCCCAGAACCCTAACCCTTCCCCCACAGATAAATAACATCTTTTATAGGCCAAACCATGTTGCTCCTAAATTTAAATGTACTGTTTTTTCAGCTCTGCTTTGTCTTTATGACAGATAACACTTAGGAATTAAGGAAAAGGAAACAAAGCATGCAGCGGAGGCTGAATTTCAGCATCTTTTTGATTTCATCATTACCTCCTGAAGCAAGCTGCTTACTGCAGAACCTCACCAGGGCTGATGGAAAAGCTCACAAGGAACAGAAAGCCACCACTGTGTAAATGACCAGCATAAAATCTCAGTATAAAAGGGAAAACCCTTTTCCAAGGTCTTCTGAAGGGAATTATAAATGACACAAACACTTTAAGCTAGGTCTGTGCACAAGGGTGGATTTCAATAACCTAAATAAAGGGAAAAAACCCAACCATCCCACCCAACTTTCTAAATCCTTCGGGTTTGGTTGGAAAAGGCTTATTTCACCTCCGCTTAAAAGAAACTGCTCCCAGTTTCAGTGCTGTCTTTCGATGTGCAAACTTCATCTGTAACTGATGTGAAATTCAGCATTTTCTTCTGATGGGGATCAGCATCAATCAATCTTTGCATCCACGGCATGCCCAACACACCACCTAATGCAGTGCTCAAATAGAGGAGAGGAATAATCTGATGCTGCCTGCAGAGGCAACGCTGGAGTCTCATTTCCAGCTGGTGGTGGTACGCTTTATGGAAGGTGCTGAGAACTTGGGTGCTGTGCGTGGGGGGGGTGTGTCTCAACACGCGCTCCTCAAAAAGCCTGCTAATGCTTTGCAAAAATAGTAGTGAAAAAAACCCCCAGCATCCTGAACGCTCGACTTTTACACAGTGCTAGTTGTTTCTGACGTGGTGCAGAAGGCAGTGAAAGTTACTGGTGTTAGCAGAGCTCCGTTCACGGTGGGAAAATCTACCCGAGCTACCGACTAAACAGAGACTCTCTGCGGTGCAAGAGCTTTGATCTGTATTTTGAATTTTTTTTCCTTCAAATCACTCCCTTTTGTATTTGCCTAGTTGTATATAAGAACTTTTGCATGACCGTGGCTATGTGAGAGATATGCTAGAACAGCTGTTTGGATGATCCACTGAACATATTATGACTATTTTTCCACTGTCAATAAACACAAGAAAGAGACATTCTCCAACGCTTAGAAAGGCCATGGGTTTTTCTTGCTCGTGTGGCTTTGCCTATTCTTGTAGTAAGGTTTCTCTCCAGTTAAAGCCTCCAGTTGGTCCGTGTGTGAGAGGGAGGATGGGGGGATCCGTAAGCTGCCAAACACCTGTGTCTCCCAGTTCTTCGCACGAACAAAACCCCAAGTATGGAATCTGTGTGAAGAGAGATGGAAATAAAGGCAATGAGCAGGGATCGAGCAGTGCAAGGAGGGAGCTCCCCTCCGGGCTGAAGTCCTGCTGTGCTACTGAAGCATTTTGCTCTCTTCTCTCTCTTTAAAAAGATGATTGTAGGACTCAGGTGTAACAGCGAGACTTGTGCACCATTGTGCGTGCAAAATGCTGGGAAAGACAGATTACACCCTTCTAATGTAGTTTAAATAGTGGCCAGTTCAAAACAAAGACGTCCTGTTGGCTGACGTGGTCCCAAACCCTGAAGGCCAGCACAGCTATGGAGGAGAAATACAGATGCTACTCTGGCTCAGGGGTCTTCAGATCAAATATGAGCTGTGAATATCCCAGAGAGTGTCTGCAAGGCTGGCAGTGGACAATGCCACCTCCGTAGCCAGGGCAGGAGTAAAGGAATGAAGACCCCGTGATAATTTTCAGGCCTTTTCCCTGAGCATTAAAAGCTCTTTCGAGTGAAATAAGAAAAAGAAGTGTTGTAGGGCAGAAGTGCCCTGTTAACTGTGGTTAGGGTGTTTTCGGCACTGGAGGGCACTGTGGGAGTTTCTGTGCAGCCCCGGTATCTACAAGCATTAAAGCAGAGTCACCGCAAGCCCATTTGTAGGTGGACATCTGATCCCGCGCTATCTGTTACAGAAGTGACACGTTGAGATAAGCCTCTTAAACCAATCTGCTTTACCCTCGCGACTTCTGAAATGGATGAAACTCAGTAACAGCCAGAACCATCAGACAGGAGGAACAAAGTGTCCTCTGCCTGGTTAAGCAGATTGCAAATTTCTTTTCTCTTTGTAAAGCCAGCGAGCTTTACTTCCTTGGTGGTAATTACCTTTCGGACCATCTGTACAAAGTCCTTGGAGTTCTGCGGCGAGAGCCCTTGGAGCTGGCAGGTACAAGCCTCCAGGGAGGATGCGTGTGCCACTATCAGGATGTTATTTCCTGAAATAAAGTGAGAAACGTGGGCTGAGGAGGGAAATGAAACCGGCTTTTGGGACTGGTGCCCAAGATCGAGCAGACCGTTTAAAATGTTCAAAATGGGTTCAGTTTATCATATAATGGCACATTAAACTACGTGTATATGGGGGAAAAAAGGCATGCTTTAGTAACATATTTAGAGCATTTTTTCAATTTTGAGGATAATAGTTAACTCAGTGCTCCTTAGTTTTGAAATGGCTTTCTGAAGAAAACAAGGTTTCCAGCGAGATTTCAGCTGTCTTGTGAAGCACTTACTTTTCTCTTACCCCCACATTAATTCTGATTTAAACAAGCACTTCAATTTCAGTTGCTGGTTTTCCACAGCAATTGCTTTAGTTTTCTATTTCCAAGATCCTTTACAACCAATGTCCCACTTTGCTATCGAGGTTTGTGGGCAAACTATTAAAACAAAAGCTTAGAACGTAGAGATGGATCAGTAAAATGAAATTAGTGAAATCACCAGAACTTAGAAACTTCCTATTCTTACACTATGAATGAAAAATAGAAGCTAGAGGGGTTTATTTATTTATTTATTTCAATGTTGTATTTGGAGAAATGTTCAACAGTCTTTATGGGTAATATATTTCAAGAAGAGTAGCTCAGATAAGGGATGGAAGATGACCCATCCGATGCAGGTGACAGACAGCAAGGTACAAATGGCTTGTTCATTCCTTGGAGAAACAGCTTGCATTGGGTGGGGATCCCTAAAATACTTCTGCTACTGACGTTTATGGACCTTTCTTGTAGACTGAGCATATCTGAACTCATAGTTCTGACACATACAGTTGAACCTGGAGTTTGCAATGCCTCTGGGAGAGGGATGAGAGATGCAGATATTCATCTCCGTGAAGAGGGAAAGACTGGTGGGGAATATCAGCATTCACACCCCAGCCTGTCTTGGTTTTCATGCCCTCTGTAGCACTTACCTTTGCCTTTACATTCACTGATGATTTCTTTTGTTACTTGGTAGCTTCTACTTATGTATGTATCATAAGATTCGGAAACCACTAACTTGCTGACAGGAATATGAGGTCTGTGAGCAGAAAAACAAGTACGGTAAATTGGGAGAAGCGATAAAGTTTTAAGTGCAAGTTATGATTCATCTGAAAGTATCTGTTTCTTTAACTCTTCTAATTCCCCAAATCCCCAGAGCTGCGTCTTGAGTCAGGACCACTATGATGATTGTTAAACTTCAAGACCGAGGTGTTTACCATTCCTGCATTAAGATATTTCAGTCAGTTGGGAAAAAATGGTAACTGCTTCCTCCGAAGTGGACCAGCTAGTGGAGGCAGCGTACTGCTCGCGTTAGTTTTGCAACGGCACGCAGCGATAACAATGCCGCTTTGTGTTCAGTTAGGCACGATGAGCAGATTTCAGGGCTCACCCCCCCACACACACACATTAAGTTAATGAGTGGCGGGAGAACAAAATCTGTACCCAGCAGGAAGGGGACGGCGGGACAAGGACGATGTGGGACAGACGGTCCCAGCAGCGTGACAAACCACCTTTGCCAGACTGAGGCCTGCTCTGCACTGCCATGGCTTCCAGCGTACGGGCTGGGCTGACAACATCTCTGTCCGTCCGAGGAGAGCCGGCAGGTACAGGGAGAAACGTGGAGCCCACAGAAGGCAGATGCTGGCTCTCTGCGCTCCTCCTGCTTCGATGGTGAAGGGCAAACTGTAAAGCTGCATTGCTGGGAAATGCCTGGAATTAGGCGGCATCCTCCCGGGACAGGGCGTTTCAGTGAATTGCCTGGCGGGATTCTGGCCAATCTATCAGCTGGAGTAGGTTGATGTGCACAGAGAAGCAAGGGGGTAGGAAGCAGAAGGCTGTATTTTCATGCTGCGGTGCAAGGAAAAGACCTAACTTTTCCTTACGTCCAGTGAACAGATGTATCTAGAGGAATTACCCCTGTGAGAGGAGACAGAGCGCACCAGGAGGGCTCTCTCCCAGTCCCCCACCTAACCAGCTGACCACACCAGAGCAGGCTCTTTTCTTGTGCTGAGGATATTTGTTACGGTCTTCCCAGAAGGCATGTGTTTTCTGAAGCAGAGACTTCTTCTGCCAAGTGTTAGCCATGTGATTCCCTTTCAGGGATAAATACAGTGTAAGGATTTCTATTTAGATAGCCTCAGAGTGTTGGAATTTTAGCTGCAGACCAAAAGGATGCAACACAAGTAATTTACGGCATAATTAAGTATGAAAAAAATCAGGGTTTTTTCCTTGAAATTTTCTCTCGTTTTTCTTTTTAATGTTTCAGCTGCTTATTCCACTTGAGTGTTCTTAAACACACGGGTGCAGTGGGACACCGGGAAACACCAGCGTTTCTGGTGATACCATAAACCACAAAAGCCCAGCCACAAAATATTTGTTACCAAGCCTATGTAGGTGGAATTCCTGTGTACGTATACTATGTGTGTATTATAAATGTTTTGTTTTTAACCGAGATTGCTCAGCTGGTGATCAGGTTTACAGCAACATAGAAAGGTCTTGTCTCTGCAAGAAGTCATAGCGATACAGATATTTCAGCAGTAGAGGTGTGGTGAAGGACTGGAACCGCGTGACCTTTCTGGAGTTTCCTTCTTTGTGGGTGCTCTTTGAGTCTGACTTGTATAAATGAATCATAAATTTGAGAGTAGGATGCCCGAACAGATCATCTAGTCTGTTCTTTGCCACGTGACTATTTCTGCTGGGTTTTATTTAGCCTTTCTCTCTGCAGCTTACAGTAAAAAGCATTTGTGTGTTAGGCTGGAGGGCAGCACGGCTGCGATGCTTCACGGGGCAGTCAGAGGAGAGGTCTGGAGGGCAACTCAAAGACTCAGGCTGCAGGTTGGTCCCAGCAGCCCCGCAGTGTTTGTTGGCAATGATATTGGGAAGGCGGAGGTATGGCCGTGTGGCTGGGTAAAAGGAAAGGAGCAGAGGCTGGCAGCAAGGGCGTGAGTTTGGGATACGGAGCCTGCCCGGGCACCAGGACTGGTCTGCGCGGCCGCGGGGTGGCTGGCAAAAGTGCTGAGCTGGGGGAAGGTCAGCTCTGTGCTTTTGGGGCGGCTCTGGCAGGGCCCCTGAAAGCCAGGCAAATTATCTTTGCATTTCCCTTTTCTGCAAAGCAGGAGGAACGATCAGCAGTGCTTATCCATTTGTCATTCAAATGGTTTTTTTAACCAGATGTTTACTTTGTTTGCTTTCACCAACTGTTTTTGGGTTGAATAACATGAAAACCTGAGTCAGAAACCTGTGATTTTTTCCAATAGAAACGTTTCAGATGTAACTGCCGAGAAGTGATAAATGCTTAGGGTTTAGCTCTTTGATAGAAAACCTCTGAATTTTGATGTCACAGGAGACCCTGAATTCCTGACAGATGTAAACATGTTCCCCAGGGTGTTGCAAAATTTACAATTAAGATCTATCGCCATGCTGATCTTAATAGAGAGACAGACAAGCTTTTTCCTCTGGGGAAGGGCAGGGCAGGTGTGGATGAGCCCAGGATCCAGTTCAGTCTATGAACATGATGGTCAGGGAACTGAGTCAGCAAATCTAGTTCTGCTAGCTGAGCCCAAACTCCTAAGTTTTAGGAAAAGGGTTAAAACAAACAAAAATACTTGGAGGGTTTCCTGGACACCTGAAAGATGCACACGATGGAAGGAGTAAGGGGAACAGGACCTCCATGATCAGCAATATAGCTGGATCTTGCCAGTGATCTGTGAAATTTGTTTTATAATAAGCCATTCTCAGATCGTGTTCAAGACAGCAGCCTCAAGCCTGCTCCAAGTTTATTCTGGGAGCCTCAGCAGCTCTTCCAGTCACTGCCTAAATGAAAAAACTCAGCAGAGTGTCACTCTTTGAAAACAAAGCCAAAAAGCAATCCAAGACCCTCTCACCCCTGCTGTCCACTACCTGTAGGTTGTATCAACGCTTAGAGTAGCTGCAGCTAAATCCATAGGGGGTATCCAGGCCGGTAGTGTGTTCCCAGAGACCCACTTGGTCCATTCAAACAAGCCCGGCTCTATTCGAATTTTCAGGTTGTTCTCCTGTTGCATACCTGAGAAAGGGAGAAAAGAGGCCAGGTATCAGTGAAAGTAGCTGGGGAGGAAGGCAGCAAGGCTTTGCAGCTTTAATACTGCAGTTTGATTGTAAATTTTTTTTTTTTTCTCTCTAAGTAGTCAGTTGATTAATAGTAGGTACGAAAGATGAAGTATTTAATATATGTACTTGGAATACGATATGGCAGGGAATGTAAACCTCTGGCCGACAGCTACATGCCATACACATACCTAGGCATGACTGTATTTTGGAGCTGGTTTTTGACTGTTTCCAATGCCAGGGCAACTCATGCCTCTAGCACTATTTCCCTTCCCCGTTTCTGCAGTACTTTATTCTTACTGGGGGCAGCAATCGCTGTAGGAGCACGCAGCAACACGCAGCTGCAGGAGCCTTAGCAGGCAAGGGCGCGGGGCGTGCTGAGCTGGACGTGTCCACCCATCCCGAATGCACATCTGGCTTCTGCAACCCAACCCTGACCGGCAGCTGGTGTTAGGGCCAGCACGCCGCTTGCCTAAGCACTTGTCACACCATGCAATTAGAAAAGGGCTCCTTACGGACAGCGTTCCACTTATGGGAAGCAAACTCCCATGGAAATAATCCTCACCGCAAATTACCATTTACTCGGGTCTCCCATTCCAGGCTCTCTTTTATCTGGTTGGCAGTGTTTCTCCCCAAAAATGAGGAGAATGCAGCCCTTCCTGCCCGTTGGGTTCTTACCTTTCAGGATATTGTGTGCTGTCTGTACACACCGTAGGGATGGGGAGCTGTAGATGTAGTCTACGATGGTGTTGGTTTCCAGCAAGGCTTCACCTGCAAGCAAGTTGCAACACCCACGAATCAAACCAGACAAATGGCATTGTAACAGCAACAGCAGCGTGCAGGCTCTCTGCCACCCAGCGAGGAACTAAAGCAGCGTCCCAGCTGCACTGCTTGTGTTTTGGGAAATATGTGTGCTCCTCGTATTTTATTTCAGTGGTGTGTTGGGTGCTGTGATGTGCACAGCTGTGGAACCGGGATACATTTTCCTGTGAGTGTTGCTCCACGTGCATCTAGGTACTTAGCCAGTATGCAAAGAAATCGCAGCAGCTTTTGCTCAGTTTCTGCTTCTCTTAGATTCAGCCAAAAAGCAAACTGTGTGCTAAGAAAAATTGTAGAGAGCTTGAATTTAATTTAATTTCATTTATAAGCTGTAAATCAGAATGATTCAACTTTACTCAAACCCAACGTAATTCAATTGGCTCGATTCTTCGCTAGTATAAATTACCATTTCATTACACAGGTGGAAGATCACTGAAAATGAGATAAGAATCAACTCCACTATTAGGGTTATTAATATTCTTGCAGTGCCTAAGGGAACCAAATGAGAACGGGAATCTGTTCAGCGTTGCACAGACTTGTAGTAAGGAAGAGTTGTATTTTTGTCATATTTCAAGAGGCAGGACAAAGAAGTGGGAGCAAGAAGGGGTTATTAACCTTGACTTCGTATGTTTAATGACGGCTGTAACCATGTCAAACCGATCTATAAATCTCTTGAGAGAAGTGGGGTAATTTAGAAGGAGTGGCACATCTAACAGCCCTCCGTCACGGGGAAGCTGCTCATTTGCTTTAGTCATCAGAGGAATTACGGCTCCGGCAATCGTCAAGGTCGAGTCTGTGCCGCTGCAGCGGGGAGCGGTTGCCTGCAGATGGCTGGCATGCTGCAGCCGCGCTGGCAGGTTGATGGCGTCTGGGTCACGTATGCAGTTGCGTGCTCGGACCCATTTAATGATACCAGCAAAGCGTGCTGTGATTGCTCCCAGATTCGCCTTCTGTTACGTGCATATTGCGAACCCTGATGCCATGTGGCCGGGAGTCTGAGCATCCTGCTGTTGTACGGTGATTTATTTTTGCTTAAAAAGCAAGTATAATTTTAGCTGCCCTAGTTTGAATGTGACCAACACGAAGTACTCTAAAGGATTTGAGAAAATGCTAAGTAATAGTCTCTGAAGATGTCTTTAAGGGGCTGGGCTCCCCTAATCACAGTGCTCCTTGACTACCAAATAATTTGCTGTCTATACACAAACCAATAGGCTCAGAAGTCAGGGACAAGGATGGGGTGTGGGGGGGGAAGGGTGTGGGAGAACACTGGAAATTATTTGGACTGTGGTTTTGCCACATAAACATACAGCCAGACAGGCTGATAAAAATATATTGGTGTAGCAAACTGCAGATCAAAAATTAAGATTGTCAAAATCAAGGAAAAAAACATATTTTGCACGAGGTGATGTTCACACTGCTGCGTTTCTCACCATCATTGCTAATGACAGCATCTTCCAGTGCAGCACGCTTACAGGGCAGTAACGAACGCTCTGCAATCGCGCTGCTAACGGCTCTGATTTCATACCACGTCCTAGATTTTGTGCTTTGTCTTTTCTTCAGCTGCAGCAGCTGAAGGAGACAAGGTTTCCTTTGAAAGAGAGGGCTTGCCGGCGAAGGGACTTTGCAAACGTTCTTCAACCACCTAAATGCCGTCAGTTCAGGGCACCCGATTCATTTTTTTTTTTCCTGCCTTGCACTTTCTCTGGCTGGGTGCGTGGGAGGAAGATAGCAAAGCAAAGGCAAAGCTCTTGTCTGCTGAGGACAACTTACCGACAAGCCTTGCCTGCGTACAGCCCAGCACGGTGATTGGCGCATCTTTCTCATAATCCCTGAAACCGCCGCTTCTTTGAGGTAAGCTGTGAGGCATATTCAGGTTACTACGCATATACCTTCCTGTGAGGGAAAGGTTAGGAGCAGTTGTTGGAATTATTCCATCAGAGAGCATCACGCCTGTTTCTACCTTCTTTCACCCCAACGTCCGCACCTTGCAGGCGCTGGCTAGACCTTGGCTGTCAAGCAGTTTTTCCCATGTAAAGCTATCAGGAATCTGAGAAAATTAAGTACCAGTGCGAAATTAGCAGAGAATGTTGCTAATGTTTTTAAAGTTATCTTTAGGATAGATTTAATGCCTCAAAAGAAAATAATTTCCATCCCACAACAAATGAAACCTCAAATGTTACACTTTTACAGGAGGCTAAAAAGTCAGAGCTCTTCAAACGCAATTTAGAAAGAAGGTAGTTGTAAAATCACCCTTTTTTCCAACACTTTTGGCTAAAAGATAATGGTCTTTTTTGAATCGAAGAAAGATTTTGATAAATTTCTGATCAGCTCTGATGCTAACAGAGCCTGAAGTCATAGCCTGTTAACTACAGTTTGAAACTCGAGCACATGACTGGGTTGCAAACTCCAGTTTATGCCCCAAAAGGCACTCTGAACTGTACCTTCAGTGGTGTTACTTCCTGAGAAGTAACTGGGAGCCAAATGTGCAAAAAAGGCTTATCCTGCTTGTAGTGGATGTTTGCACTGGACGCTGACTACCAACATCATGACTTCGTTTCCACGTGAAAATGCTCTTTGGTGATGTTGCTTTGATGGAACCTTTTCTTGCAGTAGTTTCCCAAATATTAGCAAATACAATATTTACTCCCTGGCTTGTGTTTCTGCTTCTGACTGCATCCCTACTGTGCTCAAAGCAATGATTTGTGTTAAGAAACCACAGCTTTCATCTAAGCTTTGCCCCAGGCAGTTGCCACTCTCCTTCCTTCATCCAACCCTAGAGCCTGAGAGACCCACGGGAGCTGACTCACCTTTGGCATCAAAACACTGTGACAACCAGTACTTTCCAAAAACCACATCCATCCTTTCCCCGTGTCTGCAGACAAACAGGCAGCGTTTCTGAGGCCCGGGCTGGCTGGTTAGTCTCAGGGGCTGGAAGAAAAATTACAGGACGTTTGACCTTCGTGAAAGCGCGAGGGTTTTTTCTGAGATCTGGTTTACGAACGCGAGTCAGGACCAGGCACCTCTTGCTTTACCCTCGTGCAAATGCAGGTACAGGAAACTCTTCTGAAGTTGGTAAATTTATGCTGGTATAAAACTGCTACAGTGAGCAGAGGATGGGGCCCTGCCGCCCCATGCTAACAGCAGGTTTGGGGACAGCGATGTCTTCTGTGCCTGTGGTTAATCATGTCGTTCAAAGGCTCATAGAGAACTTTTTAACTTGTAACTTCTGATGCAGGCAGTCAAAGGAGACCAGAGGATAAGTTGTTGGGGAACACCCAGTTGCTGGAAACTCGCCACTAAACCTGTGTGTTATTTATACGTGTGTGTGGGTCCCTACCTGCACGTTCTGGCAGATGATAGTGAGTGGCCCCGCATCCCCGGGTCCTTGGTCTTCCTGCTGTCTTCTTTCCAGAGCTCCGTCAGTGAAGGCTTGAAGGGACGGGGAAGATGTAGTATTCAGAATTGAGTAGGACCTGCCAAAAATAGAAAGATGTTGGCTTTGGGAATGCTTCGGACTTTGTGTACTCAGGCTGTAGTAAGGACATTTCTGAGGTATTCAGGAACTGATGATAATTCCTGTTGTCATGTTATTACATTATTATTGTGTTTTAGTGCTGCCTAGAGAGCACCGTGCTAGGTGATGTACTCACATGAAAAGACAAACCCCATCTCAACAGGCTTTCTGTTTCCTTAGAAACGGTTTCACAGAACAACATTTCCCAAACTTTGGTCTGCGAGGCTCTGTCAGCCCTCAAATATTCTCATGGAAAATGCCAAGACCTTCCTCACTAACATCATCTGGGGACCAGCTGCACATTACTTACCATGGTCTTGTGGACCAAAGTTTGGAAACTAATGGCTACAGAGAGTTTTCACTCACCTTTGTAGCGTGAGCTATGGCTTCAGTAGAAAGCTGGAGCAGTTTTCAGGGTTCCTGCTCACAAAATAGCTTGTATCCCCTGGTTAGGGACATGGCATATTCAACCTGGGTTGTTGTTTCTACATTTTTCGGTGCTGTCTGTTCCATTTCCCATCTACAGTGGGAATTTATTCTCACCAGTGCTTTCTGTTAAGTCTAGCCAAAGGGATATAATAGATCCCATTCTCCCTCAAGGGGCTTATCTAATGATGGTCCCTCTGAATAAAGCTCTCATGCCCAGATGTTCAAGGACTTTGACCAAGACCCTTGGGAGCAAACTCTGACAGGCAATTACAGAAGCTGCAGTGACCCTCTGCTGATTAGGTTACATTGTATGGGTTACGTTTGCTTAGTCATTAAAAAAAATGTTGTCAGATAATGTATACGGTCATTTACTTTGACAGAAATACTTGCCGTTGCTTGCACTTTTCAGTGCCTTAAGTATGTCAGAATATGCTTCCTGACTAGCACCTAGTTAGGATAAAATCTCAGAGGGGTTTCATAGCTGTTAAAATAACACCAAGTGCCTCTACCAATGGAACAAAAATAGGTCATTTGCATTTTTGTAAAGAACTGATCTTCTGCGAGATCATGTGATTTGCGCCAGTTTAAAGAAGAAAAAAAATACCACGCTGTTGGTCCTGATGTCAGACCCTTATCAGGTGGAATTAGGGTGCAAGGATGAGACTGTCGCACTGGCTTACTCGGTCTGGTGAAGATGCCATGCAGAGAAGCGCTGGTGGGGAAGGGGAGCAGGAGGTGGGAACCAGCCGTGCTGGGGACAGCATTATTGATCCCCGTCCAACAGCGTGAGGCAGCAGCCTTGCAGCAGCCACCACGGGCACAGCCCTTTGGCAGCAGATAACCTCTCCAGCCTCCTGCTCTTACTCTTTCTGACTTGACCTTCTAGCCCTATCAATTTCATAACTATTTATTTTATTCTTGGTGAGTTCCCAGTAAGGGCTGAGCTTGCTCCAAGGAGCTGTTCCTCTCACTGCCCAAATGCAGATAGAGCATCAGAGGTCAGGGCAGCAAATAACTCTCGAGTTATGCACAGTACAACTCTGAGGTGTGACAGGGGTGGTGGATCTTGAAAAGGAGTTAAAGGTAGGCAGGACAGCTTTGTGGATAAGCTGAGCGAAATATTACCAGGTGCTGGGGTGAGAAATCATGTCTAACCCTCCTCCTCAGAATATATGCATGCGATATATTGCAGGCAGGAGTACAGTTGGAGCACGCAGCTGGCAAGATAAGGCCAACCCTGATCCAAAAGCTGCCTGAGTGCATTAGTGCGTGCCAAGCCCGGGGTGGCTAAGCCCTGAGCAGGAAGCATGAACAGACATTTATCACTGTATTAAGTGGTCAGCTTGGGGTGCGAGTGCAGCTAGCACAGATACATCCTCACCGACCTGAAAACTTGAATATCTCAGTATGAGAAGAATTAGCTAGGACCTATCTCTATTGCTGTACAAAGTGGATGTTGAGCCTGAGGTCTCTGTCCTTACTTCTGTGTGGCAGCTTCCAACCCCTCATCCCATCTCAGCCCTTTCCTGCTTTGCCCATTTGGCAGTCTTTTAAGGATGCTGGCCTGCAGTATACTAAGGATTTGTTTGGTTACCCCTCTTCCCTTCACCCCCAGGAGCTGCTGCACAATTTCTGAGACTTTCTTTCTCTCTAAGCCCTTATTAAAAGGCCATGGATGCTGAACTATCTATTTATAGATGCTAGAATTCACTGCAAATAATGATGAGGCAAAGGCATGCTATCTTGCTGTGTCTGGAGGAGAGCCACCAGTCTGACTTCAGTGGTATCTCCTTGATGTTGCTGGAAAACAGAAACCACTGAAGCTATTTCAGCTTAGCCATCTTCTAAGCATAGGTCATTGTTTGGAAGCTTTTCCCAAAAGCTTGTGGTTCCTCTGCTTGGCAAGCAGAGACTGAAGGCAGACAACATCATCTGCTGTCTTCTGGATGGTGCCTTGCCTTCACTGCTCTATCAGTGGTACTGCTGTGTCCCTGGAGGCAATGTCCCCCCAGACAGGAAAGGCCCCTTGAAGAATGGAGATGCTTGCAGCAGAGGATGGAGAAAGGATCTCTGTGATGGCACAACAGCGCTGGTCCTCAGCTCTGTGTAGGAAAATACTCTTCTGCCACGTCACTCATCATTATCCAGAGAGAGGGATCCCTGGGGAAAATGAACCAGCCATTGTTGCAGAGTGGAAAAAAACCTACTGAGGCCCAAATATAGCTTGAAAAATTAGGGCTGCTTTTCCTCTCCCTGATACTTGTGCCAAGTCTGATTTCCCAGGCTTATTAAAAGGGTCAAGGAATAGCTTTGGCATCTCACGAGGAGCTGAAATAGACTGCGGTGTAATATCTACAGCGCTTCTATCCATTTTGGGGCAGAGGAGGTGACTATTTCTGGCTTTGCTGGTAATGGAAAAGCAGTGCGGGGAACCATCACAAGTTTTAGCTTTTGAGCGGTGCTGGGTCCACAGATACAAAGATAGCATGCTCACTTCTGCCATATACCTTTACATGCATGTGTGAAGGGCCCTATGTCTTGAACGCTTGGTTTTTGTGGCTTCTGTGGGGCAAGTAAATTCTTGTATCTTTGCTGGGCTTCCCACTTCCTCTGGGCTCCGTGTGCTGGGGGTGGGGAGTTTCTTCTTTTGACTTGGTAGCCCACTAATCTTCAGGCACAAAAGGCAACTTAGAAAATACCCGGAAAAGCAATTTGCTGGGGAGGTCTTAAGGTGGACATATATATATACACCTTTAATACTGGCTCTGTAGCTTGGATTCATCCCAAGTAGTTTCAGCTCACCAGTAGCTTCTGCTGCTACCAGGAGAGGATTTCCACCTTGATACCATAGAGGGAGAAAAGTATTTTGTTTTTAACATACCTATGGGCAGGTCCTCTCCTAGGCTCAGTCAGAACAGATCTCCTGACATTGATGCAAGCACAACCAGTTCCTCCCCTAAAAAGAGTCCAGTGCTTGTTTCAGAAAGGTGGTTTTTCACTCGCATACCCTTACTGAGGGGATGGCAAGAATGGGTTACACAGACTTAGGATCTGTCTTGCATTGTGTGGGATGCTGAAGCAGTTTATCTTCCAAGTATTTTCCAACCTATAGCACTGATCAGAGACCAAATGTTTCTCCTCACTGTTACCAGCAGGTCCAGTCCTTGGCATAAGAAGAAATCATGCAGGGATGTGCCACAGCCAGCAAATAAATATAGTTTAGGTGTACGGAAAATCCTTGGGGCTTGCAGAATAGAAGTGATACCATTCCTATTTTTAGTAGACAGGGAAAGGATTCAGACCTGGAGTCTCTCAAGACACAACCTGGTTTCATGGGCAGAAACTCTGCCCTGAAGGCAAAGCCTGCTCTCCCCTATTAAATAGTTCATCAAGCTTGTCTTCTTAGTGGTGGCAGCCTGTTGGTCTGCAGCTGAGGTACTGACCTTACTATAGGGCAGGGACATAGTTCTGTTTTATGTTTGTACAGTGCTAGCGAGGAAGGTCTATGTGCCGGGCAGGGCTCTTGAGGCACTATTTGGATATTAGCCATAAAGCCCATGTCCTGCAAAGGCCACGACGCAGCTTCTGCCTCACTTGAGCAGGGCAACAGGGAAAACTTTTTCAGGTGAAATGTGCTAGCAATCTAGTTTTGCTGCATTAAAGATTCAATCAAATATTCCAGAATAACATTTTGCCTGTCATATCTCTTGCGTGGTATAGCCAGGGTGCTGCAGCCCAGAGTGAGCTGTATTTTCGTGATGATCTCAATAATGCATGATTTTCACTTGAAGAATGCAGTCTCTTGTGACTAGGAGGGAAAGCTCCATGGCTGTTATTTCTTTCTTCCTCTGCAGGGATGAAACAGAACGTGGCTGTGTACACAGAGACAGCACAAGCCAACCCCCAGGATCACGGCATCGCTCGCTGACAGCAGCCTTGGTCCCAACACCTTGAGCTGGGTCCCATCTCCTGCACCGCGGCCGTTCTCCTGCAGTCCTGGTGAGTACTGCCATGCTTACTTTCATGTCTACAAAATGAACGTATCTGTGCGCCGTTCTTCTCTTACCACAAGGATCCTACTGTGAATACCATGGCCTAGATGGCAGTGGGGCTTGTGTTGTCCTTTGCTTGCTATATTGTTTTGACCAAATGACATTCTGTAACCTAATATTCCCCGTGGGAAGCCGTTGTGTAAAATGAGACTGTTTCCGGGTATATAATAATGTTTTTGATAAATGCTCCATATTGCATGCTCCAATTCATGATTTATAGTTTTTAGCGGTAATCAGGGAAGGGGCATTTCCGTTCTTTGCTTGTCTGGAGGCAGAGGTGCTGGAGTTACAAAACATTTGGCTTTCCTTTTACTTGCTGCTGCAAGAGTGATTTTTTCCCATGCTATTCCCTAGGCCTCAAAACTCTTCCAGGCACTGTAAGAAAAAAAAAAAAAGCAGAATCCACTAGAGCAGGCTGCTGCAGTGTATAAGGACCTGAGGCCATTTTAGCTGGCAAATTTTAGGTGAAGAAGGGATGGTCTTGCTGGATTGGAGAGTGGAGGGTCTGGATTAAGTCCTGTCTTCATACAAACTCTGATTGACTTTGCCCATGTGTCTTGATTTTCATTTCTTTAAGCCCTGGTTGCTGGAGGTCTTTTCCTTCCTCGTAATGGAAGGTGAGTTGAAGTTTGATGGTGACAGACTCAGTATGGATAGGTTTGTTCTGTTTGGCTAACATACGGATGAAAGCCGTTTATTAGTGGTGTTCCTTTCAAGGAGGACAGGCAAGAAAAGAATAGATGGTTGTGACAAGAGGGGTAAATGAGTGATCTCTTGCTATGCTTGTCCCTCCCTGATGGACTTCTGGGCTGGGGAGGACTCAGGGCTAAGCCAGGGCTGGTTTACAGAAGGGCAGTGGTCGGTGGCTGTCACATCTGGAAGCCAGCCTGCTAGTTACAACTGCCCTGTGCCTGCTTTCCGTCCGTCATTCACCACGTTGCATGCGTCAAGCCTGAAAAGTCACAGGCAAAGAAAAATACTGCCTGCCCTTTTTGCCCTCTTTGTTTCCTGCATTTTGCTCGATTTGAGGAGTTGTTGGATTGGTTTCTACTAAGTGCCAAGTTAGATCGGTTCCTCTGGCTGTCCTGTGCTGGCACGGGTTACTGAATGCTTTCCCCTTCTGCTCAGTCTCTCCCCACAGGTCATGTTTGCCCACTGAAATATGAAATACGAACTGTCTCTGTTGTGTTCTGTATCTCCATCCCTTCCCTTTGTAACTAACCTGCTCGCCGGTGTGACCGTAACCAAACTTCTGTACCTGCGTGGTGCTTAGCAGGGGGGCAGCAGGCAGGAATGTGTCTGTCCCCTCTCCTTGTCATCTTGTGCTCTTAGATACAAACTACTCCCTATGCTTCACACTTGGCAGAGGTGTTTGGGTGCTCAGAGATGCAGGAGTGCACAGACCCACCCCTCAAGCACTCGTTTTTTATTGCTGTTTAACTAATTCCCAACAAAATCAAGAGGCATAATCTTATTCAGAAGGTGAGGTCTGCATTCTCGTTGAAGCCAACGGCAGGCAGGCAACTAACTGCTTCTGAAAATCTTGCTGAGTATCTTAAGAAACATTGCTGATCCCAAGTCCTCTTCCCCAGGGAATTATACACAGCAGATCTCACTTCCCAAATTAATGCTTAAATTTAAACCTTCCTGATTCTAGTCCCAGCCCAGAGGTGTCTACACAGCAGTGGCTCTACAGTGGCCATCTGCTCCAGCTCCGTTAACCAGCAGTGGTGATCCTATGAGTAATAGTTGCTGTAACAGCTTAGCTGAATAAATCACATCGTCCTCTAATCCCATGCACAGGGACAGCATCTGCTCTTCCTTCACTTCTAAGACAGGGCTTTGTGTGCCAGTACGTTTCCCCTCAGCAAACCTTCTCAGCAGCCCTGGGTGACTCTTCACTTACCCAGGTGAAATCCCAACTGCTGAAAAAACCTGGACGGAGCAGCTTTACCTACCCATGAAACACCCAGGTCCCACATTCATCCGCCTTCGTGATGTAATTTTCAGGCAGTAGCCCAGAACAGCCAGTTGCAAGGGAAATGCCATAAATCCAGCCCTCACTTGTACTGGTTTGTTCCACTGGGGACATGAAAATAAAATCCCCCGGGACCAGCTCCAGTTCATCATCATTCTGGGGAGTGTAAGGATAGATCACTTGCAGAGTCTGGGGGAGAAAGAGAAGCACAAATGAATGAAAGGATTGTTAATGGAAGGGAACCTTGAGCAGAGCGGGGCAGGTCCATACTGGACCTTTAACCTTAGCAAGGTGTGAGCAGCTCTCCCTGTAATGCATCACTTTGTGCTTTATCCAGGAAAGCTTTACCTTCAGGGAATTCCTGCCGCTTCCCACTCTTTGCTGTTGGAAAGCTTTTCTAGGTATTTACTCCTTCTTCCCTCTTTGATTCCTGTCGTGTCTTTGAT